CAAGGGCAGGATTAAAACAAGGAAACAAACACGCAAGGTCATTCTTTGTGTTGCCCTGAGCCCCTGCAGTCATGTGTAAACACAGACGGCAATGCATTTGTCCAAACCGCAAAAGAGATCTATGTCCTTCTATTCTGTGGAGTACAAGCGACACCGTTTCTATACAAAAACCCTAGTTCTGGCCACTCCCCATCCTCCTCGCCTTCAAGATAAGAGAATCAGAATGACCCTCCTTTCTCAACAATATCAAACCCAGAGAAAAGCCACTGTTCTTATTTGTTAAAACTGCAGTCAAATAGGCATAACATACAACTTACCATCCTAATATTTAATTAATTAACTAACTTTGATGTTTTTAGAGGCAGTATCTCGCTGTGTCCCCCAGCCTGGAGTGCAGTGGTGCGATCTCGCCTCACTGCAACTTCTGCCTCCTGGGTTCAAGCGGTTCTCCTCCCTCAGCCTCCTGAGTAGCTGGGATTCCAGGTGCCCGCCACCATGCCTGGATCGTTTTTGTATTTTTAGTAGAGATGGGGTTTCAGCATGATGCCCAGGTTGGTCTGGAACTCCTGGGCTCAAGCAATCCACCTGCCTCAGCCTCCCAAAGTGCTGGGATTACAGGCATGAGCCACTGCACCCAGCCTGAAACTGAAACTTTGTACGTATCCAACATTAAACTCCTCCCTTCCCCAGCCCTTGGGAATTCTTTTTTTTTTTTTTTTTTTTTTTTTTTTATTTATTTTATTGCATTTTAGGTTTTGGATCCCTTGGAAATTCTAGCTTATTTTCTGTCTCTATGAATTTGTCTGTTTTAGATATTTCTTGGGGGTGGAACCACAAAATATTTGTCCGGGCTTATTTCATTTAGCATAAATACTTTCTAGGTTTGTGGAGGTCGTAGCCTGCGTTAGACTGTGTTTCTTAAGGCTGAAGAATGTTGCTTTTTCTTTTCTTTTATCTTTTGCCAAGACTGTGTTGGGGTTTATTCCGAAGGCTGAAGAATGTTCCATTGCATGGAGAGATGACGTTTTGTTCAGTTCTTTGATAGACATTTGGGTCGTTTTAGTCTTTTGGCTGTTGTAAAAGATGCTGCCATGAACATTAGTGCACAAATATTTGTTCACTTCCCTGATTTCAATTCATTCCTTCCTTCTTTCCTTCCTTCCTTCTTTTTTTTTTTTTTTCTGAGACAGAGTCTGGCTCTGTCACTCAGGCTGGGAATGCAGTGGCGCAATCTCAGCTCACCGTAACCTTTGCCTGCTGGGTTCAAGCAATTCTCCTGCCTCAACCTCCCAGGTAGCTGGGATTACAGGCGCCTGCCACTGTGCCTGGTTAATGTTTGTATTTTTAGTAGAGATGGGGTTTCACTATTTTGGTCAGGCTGGTCTCAAACTCCCGACCTCATGATCTGCCCACCTCGGCCCCCCAAAGCGCTGGAATTACAGGCGTGAACCACTGCGCCCGGCCCCCTTGTCTTCATCTTTGCCAATCGAATATGCAAAGTTCCACATTTAATTTCTTTTAGAAATTGTAGAGAGGGAGAGCCATCTACTCACATGTTACAGACCAAGAAAACTGCCGGATCGTTTCTGCTGACAGCAGGGCCATCATCTGCCTTGGTGAATAATGTGCTCCCTGCCACCTAAAAGTGGAACTCAATGTGCAGCGATGGCCAAATGTTTCCAGAAAGGAAGCAGCATATAGAGCCGGCGATGGAAAGAGGCCGCTCTGAGATACTAAGCAACCATTTAAGAGAGTGCAGCAAAACTGCTAAACATACCATCTACTTGTTTTAAGATTTGTTTATTTATGCCGGGCGCGGTGGCGCGTGCCTGCAGTCCCAGCTACTCGGGAGGCTGAGGCTGGAGGATCGCTTGAGCCCAGGAGTTCTGGGCTGTCGTGCGCTGTGCCGATCGGGTGTCTGCACTAAGTTTGGCATCAATATGGTGACCTCCCGGGAGTGGAGGACCACCACGTTGCCTAAGGAGGGGTGAACCGACCCAGGTATGAAACAGAGCAGGTCAAAACTCCCGTGCTGAGCAGTAGTGGGATCGCCCCTGTAAATAGCCACTGCACTCCAGCCTGGGGGACGTAGTGAGACCCCCATCTCTAAAAATAAATAAATATATTTATTTATTTATGTTCAAGACAGGGTCTTGGCCCCATCACCCAGGCTGGAGTGCAGTGGTTTGATCATGGCTCACTGCAGCCTCGAATTCCGGGCCTCAAGCGACCCTCCTGTCTCAGCCTCCCAAGTAGCTGGGACTACAGGGGCATACCATCGCTCCTTTCAAGGCTGGGCATGGTGGCAGATGCCTGTAATCCCAGCACTTTGGGAGGCCGAGGCAGGTGTATCATGAGGTCAGGAGTTCAACATCAGCTTGGCCAACGTGGTGAAACCCCATCTCTACTAAAAATACAAAAAAATCAGCAAGGCATGTGACGGGCTCCTGTAATCCCAGCTACTCGGGAGGCTGAGGCAGAGAGTTGCTAGAATCCAGGAGGCAGAGATTGCAGTGAGCCGAGATTGTGCCACTGCACTCCAGCCTGGGTGACAGAGTGAGACTCCGTCTCAAAGAAACAAACAAACAAAATATATATATAGTTGAGATGAGATCTCGCTATTTGCCCAGGCTGGTCTCGAACTTCTGGCCTTGAGTGATCCTCCTGCCTTGGCTCCCAAAGCCCTGGGATTACATGCATGAGCCAACATGCCTAGCCACTGTTCGTTTCGTTTCAGTTTATATTTGATTCCCTATTTAACGTTCATCTTCCATTGATTACAATAAAAGTTCCCCGAGGAATGAACATAGTAATCCTGTTCTCTTTGATCCAAGAGGCCCCAGCAGGCTCTGTTATAAACGAGGGGTCCAGTCTGATGTTTACATGCAGGTCTATGCAGCACGGAGAGGCCGCGCTCATGTGAACCCGGCTCGTGAGACTGACATATAAACTGGAATAAACCAGCACCGAGGTCCTTTACGCACCAGGAGAAACCATCAGAGGTCTACGTGAATGCCCATCAGATCTTGGACCCACGAACAAATCCAGTACAGAAAGCAACCCATATCGGCAGGGCCAAGTGTACGGTGCTCTTCTGACGCCCAGGCACCTGGGGGGCACTGCTTGAATGGACAGTAGGGGCCACAGTGGCCTCAAGGACCAAAGAGGAGGCTGTAAAGCCATCCAGGAAGGATGGTGGCGGGACAAGGTGGGCATCCGGGGAGCCGCGAGGGGTGAGCAGACTCGCTGGTATTGGTCACGTGGGGCCCCAGCCCTGGGAAGGAGTGAGGCTGACTCCTGGGGGCTGGCTGGCTGGCGCTGCATCGGCAGATCCAGGTTTTGGTGTTTTTTCCCTTTGGGCGATCATGAATCATCCTGCTGTGAACTGGCTTATATTTAAATGTCTATCTTCACAAAAATAGTACCAGTGAGCTTGTTCATCTGTTTCTGCCTTTATTGACCAAAGAAAGAGCCACGGTGCAAAATCTCTGTGGAAACCATTGTGTTCCCAGCACATCCTGTGGGTGAAGCGGGACAGCTGCGCAATGGGGAGTCGTTGCTGGGGATGAGGATTTCTATGACAGAACTCTAAGCAGCAGGTGAAGACAATGAGCAAGGCTATGGGAACAATGTCTTCATTTGATTGAGTTTTGAAATTGATTGCACCAGCCATTTCTAGTTCCCTGCACTGTGAGCTTTGTCAATCTCTCTGGCCCCTGAACCCACGTGGGTCCCGCCACGGAGAGACGAGGGCAGCCAGGTGTCTGACAGAGAAGATGCATCTCTGAGGGACCCGACTTGTGTGGACCAAGGTCATGGGTCCCCTGTGTCATCAGCAGCGGGTTCATTCACTCACAAGGGCAGATCAACAGCGGCCCACAGGAACGTCCATCAGACCTGTGCCCTCTCCTGATACAGGTCTGTGCAGCTCGGAGAGGCTGGGATCATGTGAACCCAGCTCACCAGCCCCTTACATAAACTGGAATAAACCAGCACCGAGGTGATTTACTCAGCAGGAGAAACCAGCACAGGTCTGTGTGAATGCCCATCAGACCTTCGCCCCATGGGCAAATCCACTAGAGAAACCAACCCATATCAGCAGGGCCGGTGTGTACTGAGCTGTCCTGACGCCCAGGCACCTGGGGACAATTTTTTGAATGGATAGTCATGGCCAGGGTGGCCTCGAGGGACCAAAGAGGAGGCTGTGGGGTCATCCAGGAGGGAAGGATGGTGGCGGGCAAAGCGGGCAGCCTGGGAGCCAGGAGAGTGGGTAGACTCGCTGGCATTGGTCCTGTGGGGCCCCGGCCCTGGGAAGGAACCAGGATGACTCCTGGGGGCTGGGTGGCTGGTGGTGCCTCTCCTGAGATGGGGACCCCAACCACGGGTCATGATGCTGATTCCCCCCACCCCGTGTGGAATGCCCTCTCGCCTGGGCTAGGGCCCGTGGGGGGGTGAAGCCAAGGCAGTGTCGGCCACTGAGGTTCCCCAGCTCCCAGCCCAGCTCAGCAGGCAGTACCTGATCAGTGATGAAAAGTTAATCCAGCCGGTTGTGGTGGCTCACGCCTGTAATCCCAGCATTTTGGGAGTCCGAGGCGGGTGGATCACAAGGTCAGGAGTTCAAGACCAGCCTGGCCAACCTGGTGAAACCCCCACCTCTACTAAAAATACAAAAAATTATCCCAGCATGGTGGTGGGCACCTGTAATCCCAGTTACTTGGAAAGCTGAGGCAGGAGGCTTGAACCCAGGAGATGGAGGTTGCAGTGAGTTGAGACCACACCATTGCACTCCAGCCTGGGCAACACAGCAAGACTCCATCTAAAGAAGAAAAGAAAAATTAATCTGTCATTCAACTCCTCCAGGAGGCGGGACTGCAGGGCAGGGTGGGAAGGGAGGGTCCCAGCAGGGCGGGGCAGGGCAGGATGGGCACAGCATAGAAGTGATTTAACAGCCAGACTTATGTCAGTGCACACTTGTGTTTGGGAACAGAGCAGGACTCAGGATGCAAGACCCTAGGGATCCCCAAGGTGAGCCGGGACAGTGCTGTGAGGGGCCTGGGCCGATCCTGTGTCAGGGGCTGCAGAGTGCAGATCTGGGCAGCCAGAGAAGGGCTGGGGCTGTGCGGGTGGCTTCCTGCCCTGCAGATGGAGGAGGACTTCATGGCCTTTGGGAAATGGAATCAAATGGTGCAGCCGGGAGCAGCAGCTCACGCCAGTGACCCCAGCTCTTTAGGAGGCCAAGGCGGGAGGATCACTTGAGCCCAGGATTCTGAAACCAGCCTGGCCAACAGAGTGAGACCCGTCTCTACCAAAAATACAAAAATTACCCAGGGGTGATGGTGCACACCCGTGGTCCCAGCTACTCGGGAGGCTGAGCCCGGGGATTGCTTGAGCCCAGGAGGTGGAGGCTGCCTTGACCTGTGGTCACGTCACTGCACTCCAGCCTGGGTGACAGAACAAGATCCCCTCTCCAGAAAAAAGACCGAAGGAAAGAAATTAAATCGTGCAACTGAGTGGAGCAGAGGATGGGGCAGGTGGCGGTGGCCTTCGGCTGTCAGGGTCCCTAGAGCCCTTGGGTGGGAGGAGACGGGCAGCTGGGGAGGGCTGAGCAGGCCGGAGGCAGCCCCTCTGCTCCGGGTGAGGCACCCAGGCTGCTTGCCTTCCCCTCTGTGGTGTCCCGAATAATACAGGGGCTGCTATCACGCCCATTGCCAAGATGTGGACCCTGAGGCCCAGAGTGGTGCAAGGTCTGGTCCGGACCTCAGGCTGCTATCCCAGCGCTGCCCCAGCCAGACCGCCTGGGCTCCTCGCCGGGCGCAGGGGACCGGGTTTGTGGGGGGGGTGCTGGAGGGGCTGAGGGGTGTGGCGGGCTGCCTGGGGGCTTCTCTGACCCTGTTTCCCTCCTGCCCCCAGGACCTCCCCCGGCCCAGGGCCGTCCCCTGAACCAAAACCCTCCAAGGAGACAGCGGCAGGAGCGCACGGTCTACACTCGCAGCCAGCAGGAACAGCTAGAAGCTTACTTTCAGGAGAAGCAGTACCCGAACTTTGACGAGCGACTGGAGCTGGCGCAGAAACTCGACCTCAGGGAGCAGCAACTGCAGGTCTGACCCCAGCCCCACCCTGCCCCGCCTCCATCATCACCCCAAAAGGCCTCCCCACCGCTGTCACTGGGGCCCGGTCCACCCGGCCACCTCCTGCCCTGCTACGCCGGGGGTTACACCAGTGTAGACCAGGGCTGCACCCGGAGTCCTGCTCCAACTCTGTGCGGGCTCAAACCTGCCCACGTGATCAGCCCAGGCTGTGTCCCACGGGGTCTCCCGGTGTCCAGACCCCAGGCCCCCTGAGCACCCCCAGAGTCCCTGCTCTTGAACCCTCCCTGGCCCCGGGCTCCTGGGCTGCAGTCCCCGCTCCTCCCCTCCCACCCCACGCGCCACCCCCTCCTTTTCTCTCACTCTCTCCTCCCTTCTCCCGGCCTTGGAGGCCCGGGTAAGGTGGAAGGTGGGGGGCAGGGGGTTGGGGAGGTGGGAGCTTTGAAGGGGGTTTGGGGATTGAGGGACAGTGGGGGGGTGAGCTCAGGGCGAGGCTTGAGGCCAGCCCTCCCCCCCCAGCCGCTCACCTGGGCCGAGGTGGTGCACGAACCTCTCCTTCACACCCCCTCCCTGTCCCCTCTCCCCCTAGGTGTGGTTCAAGAATCGTCGCGCCAAACTAGCCCGGGAGCGGCGGCTCCAGAAGCAGCCCCAGAGCGGCCCAGGACCGAGAGGCCGCGGAGCCCGGGCTGCGCCCCCAGACCCTGCAGGCGCTGCCTCCGCCCCTGGGGGTCCTGAGTTCCCGCAGGGCTGGGATTCCTGGATGTCCCCTCAGCCGGGCCCCTCGGGAATCCTCCCAGCAGCAAAACCCACGACCTACAGCCTCCACCACGCCTGGGGCGGTCCCGGGCGAGGCGCGCAGGGTGGCTTCCTGGCTGGCCCGGGTCCAGGTCCCTGCCCGATCCCAGCCCCACTCCCTGGCCCAGCCCAGGTGCCAGGCCCGCACCCAGGCCCAACTTCAGGCCCATTCTCAGGGTCAATGCTAGGCCCAGCCTCCAACCCAGGTCCAGTCCCAGGTCCAGTCTCAGGGCCTGGCCCAATCCCAGACCCAGTCCGAGGCGGATGCTTGATGCCACCAGGTCCAGCCTCACTCCCAGCCCCGGCCCCAGACTCCATGTGGCCTCAGAGCCCCTATGCCTCCAGCTTCTGGCCAGACACTCAGTTATTCTCCGACTTGCCGGAGCTGTTAGCACCCCTAGACGCCTTTGAGGACTCCTCAGTCTCCACCCAGATGTCTCAGTACGAAGAGAAGGATGGCTCTGTGGACGAAAATCCCTCATTGCCCCGGGGGTTTCTGGATTTATAGGGGGCCTGTGCCTGCAAGGCCTTCAGATTCCAGTGGGCCTGGAGTGACTGGTCCACTGCTGGTGACTTTCTACAGTGAATGCAGCACCCTTTACCCACCTGGCTGCAGGTGGGCATTTGCTGTCTTCACTGTGTGGCCATTTCATGTAAGCTCTGCTGTGAGTGTCCCTGCCTCTCGTTTGAGTTGAGCCTGAGCATGTCTCTGCTGGGACTGGAGTGCTGGCTCACTGGGATGTCTGGCACTAGAGGACGCTGCTTGAGAGCTTTGTAAAGGGCTTTCCCCTGCACTCCTGGTGGTCCACATCTTCCCCAACACTGAGGATTGTGAGACTTTTTAATATTTGTCCATCCAATGACTTACGGCTTTCTTGCAGTTGTAATATCCATTTACCTGATGATTGAAAGGTTGAGAAATTCTCATGGGCGTTAGGAATCTTCAAGTAGTGACTTTTAAAAACATGTTTTTCTTATTTTTGTTTAAATGGTGACTATTCATGGTCTTTTGGGCCCATTTTTTGTAGTCGATTTCTTTACAAATATTTTCTTTCTTTTTTTTTTTTTTTTTTGAGTCAGAGTCTTGCTCTGTCACCCAGGCTGGAATGCAGTGGTGTGATTTTAGCTCACTGCAAACTCCACCTCCCAGGTTCAAGTGATTCTCCTGCCTCCACCTCCCAAAGTGCTGAGATTATAGGTGCCCAAAGTGTTGAGATTATAGGCTTCCAGCCACTGTGCCAGGCCAAAATGTTGTTTAACCACAGAGATCTTGCATGCATCTTTCTGTAGATTTATTTCTTGCACTTCATTTTCATTATTGTCTGATATTTTACATAGTATTTCTTATTGTTAAAATATTTTGTCTAATATTTTACATGGTATTTCTTATTACATAGTATTTCAATATTTTACATTATTGTGTGATATTTTACATGGTATTTCTTATTGTTAAAAAACACATTCGTCTTGTACAGAGGATTCAGTTGATCTATTTATTTTGTTTGTGGGAATCTCACTCAATTCTTTTGAATTCTAATAAATTATCTGGACGTTGTAAATTTTGAAAATGAATGTAGTTCCTGGTTACCCCGTGGACGTTGTTTTTTGCTAATCCAGGGAGTGCCCCCTCCTCCGTGCTCCACACCTGTCTCTGCGTCTGGCTTCCTCTGCCGCTCCCCGGTGGCCGTCCTGGCCCTGGGTCCCTGCCCCCACCAACACAGCGGATTCTGTGACCCTGTCCTGGTCCGGTTTAGCAAATGCTCTAATCCTCTTAGGCCAGGCCAGCCTCAGCAGAGCAGAGAGAGAATTAGATCAGATGTGGGGGGAAGGGAGGACGGCCGTGTGTGTGTGTGTGTGTGTGTGTGTGTGTGGTGGGGAGAGACTTTTAGGATATCATGAAAGCTCCTCCTTATCTAGCAGACCCTGGTAGGAAAATACACACAAAAACACCGAAACTCCACACCAGTCAGATTCAGACTCTGACACTGTGGGAAGAGTAGGGAGGAATCTAATCCATCTATTGCAGGTGAGGGAATCCTGGGGGCAGGAGGGAGAGGTGGTCCAGTCTGACTGTGGATTCAGAATCACATCCTGGGGATGGGGGAGGGAGGGTGGTGCTCCTGGACCCTCCAGCCATATCAGTGAATGGGAAAAAGATTAGTTTATTAATGAATGAAGGTGGAGTTTGCACGTGCCCTGATTAGCTGAATAGAAAGTGAAAGGATTAAGTAGAACAGAATTTCCCTCTCTTTCATCTCCTCAATTCTTTTTTTTGGAGACAGGGTCTGGCTCTGTCACCCAGGTCAGAGTGCAGTGGCACAATCATGGCTCACTGCAACCTCCACCACCCAGGCTCAGGACATTCTCATGCCTCAGTCTTCTGAGCAGCTTGGATTACAGGCTTGTGCCACCATGCCCAACTATTTTTTTTTTTTTTTTTTTTGAGACAGAGTCTCGCTCTGTCGCCCAGGTTGGAGTGTGGTAGCATGCATGATCTTGGCTCACTGCAACCTCCGACTTCTGGGTTCAAGGGATTCTCCTGCCTCAGCCATAATAATTTATTGTATTATTAGTAGAGACAGGGTTTCACTATGTTGGCCAGGCTGGTCTTGAACTCCCGATCTCAGATTATCCAACCACCGTGGCTTCCCAAAGTGCTGGGATTACAGGTGTGAGCCACTGTGCTCCGCTGATCTTTTCATTCTCTTTGTAGGTTCTTCGGTTCTTTTGTGGAACAAAATTTTAGTTTTTGTTGTTGTCGTTGTTGTTTTGAGACGAAGTCTCGCTCTGTCGCCCAGGCTGGAGTGACATGGCATGATCTCAGCTCACTGCAACCTCCACCTCCCAGGTTCAAGTAATTCTCATGCCTCAGCCTCCTGTGTAGCTGGGATTACAGGCACCCGCCATCATGCTTAGTTAATTTTTGTATTTTAGTAGAGACAGGGTTATACCATGTTGGCCAGGCAGGTCTCAAACTCCTGACCACAAGCGATCCACCCTCCTCAGCCTCCCAGTGTTGGGATTACAGGTGTGAGCCACCTCACCTGGCCTTTTGTAAGTTTAAAAAGCCTCCGTAAATACTATTCATTGTATGTGGTTGAACAACAGAGAGTAAGAGAATAAAACTAGATTGGGAGTTACTCTCCTGAAGGACAGAGTAAGAATAAATTGTGGTCATGTGATGAAAGGAAATGGAAGCTCAATTGATCTGTAATTTTATTTCTTATTTTTATTACTGGTTTTTGCTCTAAAATCTGTCACTGTAGCTATTTCTTTCTTTTTTCTTTTTTTTGAAATGGAGTCTCCCTCTGTTGCCAGGCTGGAGTGCAGTGGCGTGATCTCAGCTCACTGCAACCTCCACGTCCCGGGTTCAAGCGATTCTCCTGCTTCAGCCTCCTGAGTAGCTGGGACTAACAGGTGCGCGCCACCGTGCCTGGCTAATATTTGTATTTTTAGTAGAGACGGGGTTTCACCATGTTGGCCAGGATGGTCTCGATCTCTTGACCTCATGTTCCGCCAGTCTCGGCCTCCCAAAGTGCTGGGATTA